CACATGCTCATTTATTATGTAGTTTTTTTGTAACCAAGCTTATTAAGTAATTAATAAAGGAAGAATTGGAATGTAGGTGATAATGATACTAGTATAGTTCCAAATTTTTATAAGTTATGTATTCATTTTGTATATATATATTTTAAAATAGACAAAAAACTCATCCTGCCTTAAGTTAATCTTTTAAATTAGAGACATGAGGAGCTGTCACTTCACTGAAGATATATATTATGAAAGGTACCCGGGCATGTCCCCAGCAGGTCAGGAAGGTGACTATGTGGGCTGAGCACCACGGTTTTTGGAGAATTAGACATGGTTGTTAACTTGAATAGGGCTCGAAAGTTCACAAAACACACTCATAGTAACCATTCCTTGGCTTCTCTTGCAAACGTTGTGAAATGAGAGCACTTTGAAGGTGAGGCTAGGGACTCAGGGAAGTTAAGGGGCATGGTGAAGGTCACAAGGCTAGAGAATGACTTGGCTGACTTCTGATTTCCAGTCCAGAACTGTTTTCATTAATTACATCATGCTATACGTGAGGGGGTTGCTATGCTGATGAGCCTCTTGCAAATACTGGACTGCTTTAAAATAGCCTTGCTCATCATTCCAGCCTGGTTGGACAGGTATGGTGAGCTGATTTCCACTTCATGTGATAGGTGTAGGTAGCTATTTTAGGTTTTTACTCTAAGGAGGTAGAATGATGAGCCATCTGTTTTAGGCAGAGAGCAGCCTGAGAGTGGAATCCCAGTGTGTCTGATGTGTGCTGGAGTTGGAGAACTGTGGAATCAGAGCAGCAATATGAAGGCATTCTTGGAGAGTATTTCAGAATTCAGATCTGAAGTGATGAGTCTCAATTAATGTGATGACAGTGGAAATGAAGAGGAACACCTGCGTCCTGGAGATACCTGACAGAAGTCTTGGCCCTGGTGAAAGTTGTGCTCCTGGTCATTCCTTACAGAACACATAGTAGCCCTCGTGTTCAGGAGAGGAGTGTTAATTCCAGGTGAATATCATGGTAAACCACTCTGAAGAGTTGAGTTTACTGTGTTCGGAGGTGCTGAGCTCCCACTTTTGTGTATGTAAGTGGGTGTGTGTATAGTGTATCCTCCCGGTGACAGTGTGGCCAGCTGAGAGGCAGAGGTGGATGTTTGGCAAGAGGACTGGCATCTGTTCATAGCCTGTTTCCTGGTAATGAAGGATGAGCTGTAACCTTAGAGATAATTGGCAGGAGGTAAACTGGGAAAACCTAACATTTGAAGGGAAGGGATGTTTAGAAAAAGAGTGACAGGCCGGGTGCAGTGGCTGACGCCTATAATCCTAGCACTTTGGGAGGCCAAGGCAGGCAGATTGCTTGAGTTCAGGAGTTTGAGACCAGCCTGGTCAACGTGGCGAAACCTTGTCTCTACTAAATATATAAAAATTAGCTGGGCGTGGTGGCTTAAGCCTGTAATCCCAGCTACTCAGGAAGCTGAGGCAGGAGAATCGCTTGAGCCCAGGAGACAGAGGTGGCAGTGAGCCGAAACTGCGGCATTGCACTGCAGCCTGGGTGACAGAGCGAGACGCCGCAAAAAAAAAAAAAAAAAAAAAAAAGAGTGAGAATTTCAGAGCTGATGTATTGCCTTTTGTTCAAAGAATAAAATTCATCCTCTCTGCCTCTGTGGTTTCTGACTTTTGCCTGTTTTCTGTCCTCATTTTCTCCCATTCTCTGCCTTGCTCATCACATTCCAAATTTAGAATCCCCCCTCTGCCCTCAGTCTAGATATTCCCATGGCTGGCTACATTGTACAGCAATTGGATGTCACCATTTTGGAGAGCTTTTCCTGACCATCTTCATTAATGTTCTCCCCATCCCTGCCTCCCCGAAAAACTAGGTTCTGTCCCAGACCACTTATCCCAATCAGAGAAGACCCTAGTCAGTTCTTGGTCTGCTTGTGCAATTCTGCCCTCCCTTCCCCAGTAGAATGAAAGCTCCTAAAGAGCCTGGGATCCTGTGTGTCTTGTTCATTGCTGTATTGCCAGCACCTAGGAGAGCACCTGGCACATATTTAGCATAAATATTGGTTGAATGGATTCTAGGTGAAGATTTGGTGAGCGGGAGTAGAGGTGGGCGATGGGGGAAGAAACGGGTCTGTAGACCCCAGGCAACACAAGGTGACTAACCTGGACTGGGTGGTAGAGATGAGACAGGATAAATTCAAGAGATGTTCAGGAGGTAACACTGACAAAATTTGGTGATAAAATCTGGTGAATTAGGAGGTATCAGGTAACTTTCTTGTGAAAAATCCTGCTGTGAGAGGCTAGTGAACTCCTAGCATTCTTATTGGATCTCTTCATTCACTGGAAATTTAAGGGCAAAACAATTCTTAGCCCTCCATCAAGAGCTTACCTCAGTTCTACTCCACCCTAGAGGAGGTGCCTCAAACTCTAGGCATGACGAAGTCTCTCTGTTTCTACCCAGAGCAGTTGTACCCACCCATCCACTCATTTACCACTCAACAGTATTTTTGAGCACGTAACGTTCTAGGTATTGTCGAAGGCACTGCTGCACAGGAATGACTAAAACAACCTCCTTGCATTTATGTCCTAGAGAGGGAAGACAGACAAGCATGTCTACAAATGCTACATGCACGAGATACTTTTGGATGGTAATAATGGTATGGAGAAAAAACAGTGAGATAGGATGAGGTGGGGTCAGCCAGGCTGCTCCGCATTAGCTGAGATCTGGATAAGAAGAAGGAGCCATGAGAAGACCTGAAGGAGAGCGGGGTTCTGGCATTGCCTTCAGAACCCTTTCCCGCTAGAGGAGTCGCTGAAGGGGCACTTTGCTTTCATGTTTTTTTTTTTTTTTTTTTTTTTTTTTTTTTTTGGGACGGAGTTTCGCTCTTGTTACCCAGGCTGGAGTGCAATGGCGCGATCTCGGCTCACCGCAACCTCTGCCTCCTGGGTTCAGGCAATTCTCCTGCCTCAGCCTCCTGAGTAGCTGGGATTACAGGCACGCGCCACCATGCCCAGCTAATTTTTTGTATTTTTAGTAGAGACGGGGTTTCACCGTGTTGACCAGGATGGTCTCGATCTCTTGACCTCGTGATCCACCCGCCTCGGCCTCCCAAAGTGCTGGGATTACAGGCTTGAGCCACCGCGCCCGGCCTGCTTTCATGTTTTAAAGAATGAATTTGAAGAGGTTGGTGGGTTGGAAACTCAACTTTAAATACTTATCAAGTATATTTATTTATTTATATTTTATTTATTTTTAGAGACGGCATCTTGCTCTGTAGCCCAGGCTGGAATGCAGCAGCATGGTCTTGGCTCAGTGCCACCTCTGCTTTCCAGGTGCAAGCAAGTCTCCTGCCTCAGCCTCCTGAGTAGCTGGGATTATAGGCGTGCACCACCACACCCAGCTATTTTTTGTATTTGAGTAGAGACGGGGTTTTACCATGTTGGCGAGGCTGGTCTCAAACTGCTGATCTCAAATGATCCACCTGCCTTGACCTCCCAAATGCTGGGATTACAGGCCTGAGCCACTACGCCTGGCCCATTTTATTTATTTATTTTTGAGATGGAGTTTTGCTCTTGTTGCCCAGGCTGGAGTTCAGTGGTGCAATCTCAGCTCATTGCAACCTCTGGCTCCTGGGTTTAAGCGATTCTTCCGCCCCAGCCTCCTGAGTAGCTGGGATTACAGGCACGCAGCACTACGCCTGGCTAATTTTGTATTTTTAGTGGAGATGGGGTTTCACCATATTGGTCAGACTGGTCTCGAACTTCTAATCTCAAGTGATCCACCTGCCTTGGCCTCCCAAAGGGCTGGGATTATAGGTGTGAGCCACTATGCCCAACCCCATGTTATTTTTTTTGAGACAAGCTCTCACTCTGTTGCTCAGACTGGAGTACTGTGGCATGGTCATGGCTCACTACAGCCACAGACTCCTGAACTCAAGTGATCCTCCCACCGCAATGCCTGTAGCTGGCTATTTTTAAAAACTTTTTTATAGAGATGAGTGCTCACTCTGTTTCTTAGGCTGGTCCTGAACTCCGGCCTCAAGCATTCCTGTCTCAGTCTCCTAAAGTGTTGGGGTTACAGGCATCAGCCAACCATGCCTGCTGTTTATTTCTTATCAGCATTTTTGTTTGCCAAATCATTCTATTGCTCATTTACTTTCTGAAGTCATTAAAAGTCATTAAACAAAACATTTTAGAGATGGCTTTAAGGAACAAAATTTCTGTCAATCATAAGTGATTAATAGATAATTTTCAAAAAAGGATAAAATCATGACATATAGATGCAAAAATGAACATGGTAAGTATTTTATTTAATCACCGATTATTAATTATAGAAGAGGACATTTGGCAGATGTTATAACAGGTTCAAAGGAGAAATTGTAACAAATTTCCGGGAAGTACTGTTGAAATTAATGTGCAAATTCAGGAAAACGAGCTTATTCCTGAGTCGGGGAGGGAAGTTAGTTGCACCTCTAGTGGCCAGAATAAAATTAACATGTCCGTAGACAACAATTGTTTTGCACTGCTGTTAGTTATCTACAATTGACAGAGTTGGAAGCTCCTGGAGAATCAGAATCTAATCCCCTGTGGAGGTTTCCTCTAGAGTCTTGATAGCGCATGGTTTTTCAATGAAGTACGTTTTTTTTCCTGTGTATAACCGAACTAAAACAAAATAATCTCCCCCTCCTCCATGTACTAAAGTATGGAATTCCTACACTTATGGTCTTTGAAGTAATGGGGAAGGGAACTATCATCTATGTACCGCCTGTTACGAGCAGCGTTTGTCAGTTTACCTCATCCTCACAGCAGCCTCACGAAGTAGGTGTTGGGCTTCCCGTTTTACAGATAAGAAAATTTAGACTCAGGGATCTTATAGACAGTAAGTAGCAAAGTTAGAATTCCAGCCTGTCCTGTCTCAGAATTTATACACACACCCCCACTAGGGTCAACATGCTGATGGTAAAAGCTATAGAAATTCTCTGTGTTTTGTTCTTGATCTTTAGCTCATCATCATCCAAGGTGGATCTCAAGAGTGGCCTCGAAGAATGTGCTGTGGCATTGAACTTATTTCTAAGTAACAAATTTACAGATGCCTTAGAATTGCTTCGCCCCTGGTAATTTACTTTGTGTCTTTTGGATAAAATATTTTTCAGATGTTTCTGATGATGGTTTGATGTCATGCTTGTAAATTAATTTATCTGTTTCCATTTGAATATTTATTAGCTAATTTAGTTGAGACCTCCTTACTTTACTTTTAATATTCAGTTTAGAAATCTGAGTTTTCAAATATAATTAGTAGAAAATTTCTGATTGTTTCACATATTTTAATCTCCTTGTTCAGATAGTGTTGTCTTATGTAGTTTTATAAGGCTTCAATTTCGCTTTCTTCAGTGAAATATTTTTATGATTGTTCCTTTTAAGTATTATTGAAAAAAATTTCCTTTGAAATGGGGAGGGGAAGAACCAGAATATGCTGATCTCAATGCTAAAAATAGATGTAAGATGATAAGACTATTATTGAGGTTCTCTATTTGTTCGACAAATAACTTAAGCAATTTTATCTTAGTTAGTAATACCTGTTAAGTTTTCAAATGTGGCACCAAAACCTGTGCTTGCCTGTTTTATTTGGCCTTTGTCTTGACAAGAATAATCTTACATGCCCTCAAACACTTTCTTAAATAAAGCTTAGACCTCATATACTGATTTTCTAGAAGATTACTTGGGCACAAAAGTGGGCAATCTCATTCCTTACTTGGAGTGGTCACCAGGGTGGCTGGACTCTGGTCATTGGAATCTTAGATATGAATTGACCTGCTGAGGAGCTGCTATGGTAATTCTGTTAAGATTTAGAATAGCTGTAATCAAGATGGGTCAGCTATCATTTCACAGGTTAAGAACAAATGATGAAACCGATGGCGAAGCCCTGTAGTCTGAGGAAATTTTCTGGTGTGGTCTTCATCATCTGTCTCACAATCTCCACCTTGCCTGTTCCCTGCCTTTCTCCCTCTGTCCTTCTCAGTCCCTCAGATTTCTCTGTCTTCTGTCTCTACCTCCCTTTGTCTTCTCTGTCTGCTTGTCTTTCTCTCTCTCATCTCTCCTTCTGTCTCTTTTCTCAGTCTACCTGCCTGTCTTCTTTGGGTTTTTAATGTTTTTATTGATGAGTCATAGTTGTACCTATTTTGGGGGTACATGTGATAATTCGATACTTGTATACAATGTGCAATGATCAATCAGGGTAACCAGCTTATCTGTCACCTCAAACATTTATCTTTTCTTAGTGTCAGGAACATTTGTAATTATTCTCTTCTAGCTATTTTGAAATATACAATAAATTATTAACTAATTTCTTTATTATTAAATACTAGAAGTTATTTCTTCTATTTAACTGTATTTTTGTACCCATTATCTTCTTTGATTTTTATTCAAACAAGTCTTTCTCTGCCACTGACACCCAGCTGGTCATAATATGGAATGAAAATAAATGATTTAGTATTGTATTCAGTCAGGTTAGTCTCCGATTTTTGTACATGTTTCGCTGTTAAAATGGCTCATGCCTGTAATCCCAGCACTTTGGGAGGCCGAGGTGGGCAGATCACCTAAGGTTGAGAGTCTGAGATCCTGACCAACATGGAGAAATCCCATCTCTACTAAAAATACATAATTAGCCTGGCATGGTGGCACATGCCTGTAATCCCAGCTACTCGGGAGGCTAAGAATCACTTGAGGCCGGGCGCGGTGGCTCAAGCCTGTAATCCCAGCACTTTGGGAGGCCGAGGCGGGTGGATCACGAGGTCAAGAGATCGAGACCATCCTGGTCAACATGGTGAAACCCCGTCTCTNAAAAAAAAAAAAAAGAAAGGAAAAGAAGCTGGAAGGATTATAAATTACCAAGTTTTTGTTTGTTTTTTTAAAATGTTTGTGGGTACATAGTAGGTATATATATTTATGGGGTATATGGATATTTTGATACAGGCATAAAATGTGTAATAATCACATCAGAGGCCGGGCATGGTAGCCGGGTGTGGTAGCGTGTGTCTGTAATCCCAGCTACTCAGGAGGTTGAGGCAGGAGAACTGCTTGCACCTAGGAGGTGGAGGTTGCAGTGAGCCCGAGATCGAGCCACTGCAGTCCAGGCTGGCTGACAAAGCGAGACTCCATGTCAAAAAATAAAATATTAAAATAAATAATAAAAAATCACATCATAGTAAATGGGGATATTACCAAGATTTTTTAATTTTTTTGAAAAGCAGATAAGGATACTTTTAGCTCACATCCAGGAAAAGAAACAAAACAAATTAGCTGGGCATGGTGGCGCATGCCTGTAGTCCCAGCTACTCAACTCGGGAGGATTGAGGCAGGAGAATTGCTTGAACCCAGGAGGCGGAGGTTGCGGTAAGCTGAGATCGCGCCATTGCACTCCAGCCTGGGTAACATGAACGAAACTCCATCTCAAAAAAAAAAAAAAAAAAAAAAGAATCACTTGAATCCAGGAGGAGGAGGTTGCGGTGAGCCGAGATTGCGCCATTGCACTCCAGCCTGGGCAACAAGAGTGAAACTCCATCTCAAAAAAACCAAAACACCCAAAAACTTTTTCCTCACTTGAATCATTTTTTTGCTTCTTGAACGAGCTTTCAGTTAAAAATGTGAGGTTTGAAACCACAATTAATGATTAACTTTGGGCTGCCCTGATTCCTTGTGGTTCTTTTGAACAGATAAGGCCCTCAGTATTCAGGACAAGCTGCAAATTACCAAAGGATGTTTAGACTATTTCCATGGGGGCAAAGAATAATGTGGCTTTCATTTGTTTTGCGTGGCTTTCATTTGTTTTGTGTGGCAGCAGGCTATTATGCATTAATATTGAAATTAAAAACAAAACCATGCATTGCTATTTTAAACCTTATAAATAATGAATACAGCTTAAGAAGTTTTAGAAAATAAATGATGATGTTTTCGCAGCCAGAGAATCTGGCTGTCTGCCGTCCCTTAGGGCTAATTAACATCCTTAAGTATCCAGAAGTAGTTCTCACTGTAACTTGATGATTTGAAGTATCAAGAACTTGATCAGGAATCTCAGATAATGGGGCTGGAGTTAGATACAAGGTCTGACATCTACTTTGGTCAGGGGCCTTGTGACCAGTCTAACTTATTCCAAAATCTTGTTTCCTCTTGGCCTTTGGCTGGACAGGAGAGGGATGATTTTAAATTAGCTTTTATTTTTGATAAAATGTATCGGAATCTCTCTGTCAAAAAAATACATTTTCCAGCAGCCTTTATTTTAGCCCTCATTTCAGAGCCAAAGGTAATATGCTGCCCCTTTTCCAACAGAAAACGGTTTGTTTGGAATCTGCCTGCAGGCTGCCCTCTTGTGTTGAAATAGGGAAATGCATATTGTCCACTTCAACCTGGAATATTTTGTTCTGCCTGAGTAGGTTACATTGGAAAGTCCTTGGTGCTTGAGTTTTTTAGAGGTTTTCACTGCCCATATAATTTCGGTGATTATGGTGAAGGAATAACAGTTACTGTGCAAGTCAGGACATGTATTTACTAGAATTTCTTATGATCAGTATCAGCTAAAACTTGTGGTGTTTTTCCATTGAATTAAAATGTCTGAATTCCCTGTGTTCTCCCCAGGGCTAAGGAGAGTATGTACCATGCCTTGGGCTACAGTACCATTGTGGTGTTGCAGGCTGTCCTGACCTTCGAGCAACAGGACATCCAAAACGGCATTTCTGCCATGAAGGACGCTTTACAAACCTGCCAAAAGTATGATGAGTCATCAACTGCTTGAGATATGACTGCAGACCTTTATGCCTGTGTGACAAAAATAATATCATTTGCCTGACCAAGAGCTCTGTGTTTGAAATTGGCCACAGTTACAGAAAAGGACTTCAGCCTCGGAGCTGAAGGATTCCTGTTTGGCATCTATATTATTCCACTTTTCTTTTTGGTAGCCTGGGGTCTGAGCTACAGAGCCCTGGGGTGGAGAGGGTAGAATTTCAGTGGGATTAGAAGCAAGCATCTCTCAAGATGGATGACATTAGGTATTACTGCATGCCAAACCAAGACAAGCAAGGAGCATTCTTGTTTTAAGTGAGAGATGCAAATTAATGAGGGGGTGTTTTATATATGTTTAAGAAGAACCTCTTTTTGAACACTTTCGTTTGGTGAAAATGAGATAGATTTTTAGTTTTATTTTAAGCTTTACTCTGTGTGTACAGGAAGACCCTATCAAAAATTTTTTTCAAGGTGAAAGTAATTTTGATACTAAAAAAAATGATAAATGTTTCACAGTATAGAAGATACTTGGTTTGTGGACATTTAGGAATATTCAGGAATCCAGGAATGGCCGGCTGGGGCACCCTGATCAGGTGGATGGGAGGAAATGGCCCCGCTTGCTATCCGTTGCTTGATGTGCCCCCTGGGACTGGGGCAGAAGGTTCATGATCAGAAGGTTAACATGGGTGAAATTACATCCTGATGTAATTGTGTTGTAAGCTCCCCAAATGAAGAGAGCTTCCAAATATTGCACTTTAACCTGTGGAGAATTTTGCCACTAATACTGATTTTAGTTACAGGGATAAGGGAAGGTACTTTGTAGGTTAGTTTTCACTGGCATGCGTGGCTAGCCAGTGCTGAGTGGAGAGTGCTGGAAAAAGATGGTCTATGTCCTACAGACTGCAGGGTTTAGGGTTTCTGCTTTCTGACTCTCTGGTGTGATAGTGACTGAAGTGAATGTTAAATGAAAATGAGCTCAGCCTGATTTTTTTTTTTCCATTTTCTATCTCTCTTTCTGTTTATTCAATGTAGATACAGGAAAAAATACACAGTTGTAGACACTTTCTCAAGTCTTCTTTCTAGAGGATCACTGGAGCAACTGAGTGAAGGTAAGAGTCATTTAAAAGATCACTTTTTCCCTTGATTTTAAAAATTAAAAACTGATTATCTCATAGAATTCCATACTGAAGTGTATAAAGTAAATGGAATGTCCTGTTCTCTTCCTTATCGTCCTCACCCTCCAGAAGTACAGTGTAAATAGTTCATTCTGAAGCCTTGCAGACTTCTCTGTGTACATACTCAAATACATAAATAAGGTACATGTAGGGTTTTGGTTGTTGCTCATGGCTTGTTTTTGTTTTTTGCAAGCATAGAATCACGTAATAGGTGTTGACCTACAGTGCAAATTTGACACTGACATTTTCTCAGGTCATTAGGTATGTGTGTTTAACAGCTGTGTGGTATTCCATAGGATTGGTGTACTGTACTTTACTTGGATTTTCTCTTTTGTTTTTATTTTTTCACTGTTATAAATAATGCTGTCCTAGAATCCTTTTGCATCTTAAAAAGCATTTCATAAGATAGATTCCTAAAAGTGGAATTACCAGGACTGACAGTTTGAAAATTTGCAATATTTATAGGTATTGCCACTTTTTTTTTCTCCAAAGATATAGGACAGTTTATATATTCTTACATTCATCTTTGAGAATCAGCTTTCCACAAGCTATTATAACTTTTTTCAAGGTGAAAATAATTTTGATATCTTTTTAAAAAAGGTAATGTTTCACAGTATAGGAAACGTTTGGTTTGTGGACATTTAGGGAATATTCGAGAATCCAGGAATGGCCGTCTTCGGCACCCTGATCAGATGGATGGGAGGAAATGACCACTGTTGTTGTCAATTGCTTGATATGCCCCCAGGGACTAGGGCAGAAGGTTCAAGATTACCTCTGTCTTTTTAGTGTGACACTCTAGTCAGAATAGTTGGAAAGAAAGGAACATCTAGATATTCCTGTAGAAGGAAAAAAAAAAACGTCCTTCAAATGTGACCATTGTAGAATAAAGTTTTTGCCATCCCAGGGGAATCCGTGCCTGCATTGTCATTGTCAAACATGTTCTCTGAAGAGGTAACGCAAAATACTAGAAGTAGCTTTGGCTGATGAGAGCAAGAGCAATTTTGGGTACTGCTGTCAGAGTTGTTTCTAATTGTCAAGTGTGTGGCAGACACATTTTTTAGTGTGTTTTATTAGGAAGTTTTGTTTATTTTGTTAGATGGGTATTATCAAAGTGTTACGGACATCAGAGAACTTGGGAAGATTTGCACGATGTGATGCTAGAGCATTGATTATAGGAGGGGAATTATGAGACAAATCACATCTTTGGGACTTGTTTCAAAGGGGCATGATGTTGACCTCAAAACCATGGTCAAACAGAATGGCATTTCATTGATCACTCTAAGCAGCCGAAACCCATAACCTTTTTCTCCAGAAACTGACCTCCAACTATTTATAAGAATTCCTGGCCGGGCGCGGTGGCTCATGCCTGTAATCCCAGCACTTTGGGAGGCTGAGGCGGGTGGATCACGAAGTCAAGAGATCGAGACCATCCTGGTCAACATGGTGAAACCCCGTCTCTACTAAAAATACAGGCATGGTGGCGCGTGCCTGTAATCCCACCTACTCAGGAGGCTGAGGCAGGAGAATTGCCTGGACCCAGGAGGCGGAGGTTGCGGTGAGCCGAGATCGCGCCATTGCACTCCAGCCTGGGTAACAAGAGCGAAATTCCATCTCAAAAAAAAAAAAAAAAAAAAGAATTCGTTTATCCCCTTGACTTTGGATAGAATATGTCTACGTATTTTCCATCTTTGGTCCACCTATGTAAATTGGCTCCATTAGACCTAATGTTCACTAACGTGGGTTAATGAGAAATCAAATAGGCCCAAAAGAAATTGAACCGTTTTGCTGTATTCTCCTTTCTGTTTTGCTGTATTACCCTCCCTATGGCTTCCCTCCAGTGGGAAGCCTCCCTTTTTCCTTATAGTATGAAGGCAGATATTTGAGATTGTTTTTACCTGAGTTTTGGCATGAGTGGCATGGTATTTTTTGTATGAGTATAAATAATAATTTGAAAAATAAGATGATAATGCTCCATTTTAAAAAAGTACCCTGTATGTGCCATACACTGCCCTTGGTGCTTTTCTTAACGTTATCTAATCTAACCTCCTCTTTACAGACTAGGAACCGATTGGATATGTAAACAAATGGTCAGAGTTCCCCACCCAGCAAAGTAGGGTTAACTGATCATCTGCCCTTCCCTAAGCCACCACTCTTTCCATTGTCACCCACACTTTCTCCTGTAGGCGAGTAGAGAAGGGCACAAAATGTGTCATATATGGATGGAGGAAATATTTAATTATTTCTATGTTAGTCATCTTGAAAATAGATGATACTGTGTTGTTGTGTTTTTATAATGTCTTTGAACAATGGCAGTTTAGGAAATCTGGAATACGGTAGAAAATTATAAAATTTTACTAATTATAAAAAATAGGCTGGGCATGGTGACTTGTGCCTGTAATTGCAGCTACTTGGGAGGCTGAGGTGGGAAGATCCCTTGAGCCCAGGAGGTGGAGTGTATTAGTCCGTTTTCATACTGCTATAAAGAATTGCGCAGGACTGGGTAATTTGTAAAGGAAAGAGGTTTAATTGACTTACAGTTCTGCATGGCTGGGGAGACCTCAGGAAACTTATTATCATGCCAGAAGGCAAAGAGGAAGCAAGGCGCCTTCTTTACAAGGTGGCAGGAGGAGAAATGCATGTAGGAGGAACTGTCAGGCACATAAAACCATCAGATCTTGTGAGAACTCACTGGTTTTCACAAGAACAGCATGGGAGAAATCACCCTGTGATCCAGTTGTCTTGCACCAGGTCCCACCCTTGACACGTGGAGATGGTGGGAATTACAATTCAAGGTGAGATTTCGGTGGGGACACAAAGCCTAACCATATCACAGAAGTTGCAGTAAGCTGAGATCATGCCCCTATGTTCCACCCTGGGTGACAGAGCAAGAACCTGTCTCTACACAAATAAAAATAAAATAAACTAGCTTATGACTATAGCCTATTCTGAAATACAGGTTTATTTAGATTTTCATTTCTAAAGGCTGTGCTTAGCTAGCATTATTTCAGTGCATGATGAAGATATTTATTCCCGTGGACTAAAGAATTTATAATTAAGAGATATTCCTGGTAGTTACCTACTTATAAGTGCCTAATGGCTAATTTTGAGAACTAAAGAACTATGCAGTGTAAATCAGCCACAGTGAAAGAATAAGACTTTTATAAATTAAGCTGTATTTTATTCTTAGTGAGTTTGGCTGTCAACTGCAACCCAAACAGACTTTGTGTTCAAGGGAGCATGTCAAAACATTGTAGCTTTAGTGTGTGATTTGTTTTTCCTCTTGGTAATTTTCATTTACATCCTTGAGTGTCTGGTTGTCTACAGGAGTGAGTATATTTCATTAAACTTTTCATGGGTTTAGCGTGGAACATACTAGTTCTTTTCTCTTGCGGCTGGCGGATTGCCCCAAATGGGTTTCAAATTGCCTTTACAAACAGATATTTAAGTGCAGTGAGTACATAGCATGTGAAAGGTTTAATATGAAGGGTGCTTATTTGCGGAATACAAAGTTCAAACCCTCCTGCCTTTTCTGTCTGCCTTCTTGTCACATCCCTTTTGCAACTCTTAGATTTGTTCATCTTTCACTTAACCCTGATCTGCCCACCTGTCTGCTCAGATCACTGTAAGAACTGACTCACTGTTGCCTCCTGATGAAGTGCAGACTCTAACATTCAAGGCCGTTTATAATTGAGCCTCGACTTACCCTTCCAGCCTCATTGCCCTCTGCTCCCTTGACTGGCTTTTTCTGAAGGTGTTCTGGGCTTTCCTTGCTTCTGTTACTGACACACTCCCCTCCACTGCCCCTTCCACTAACCCTCTCCCCCCCGACCCCCCCCTTGCCATCACTACCATGGACTTCATCCCCTCTGCATGTACCCCAAGCCAGCAGTCTGTATTCCTGAGCAGACTTTCAGAGCTAATAATTCCTGATTCTCACGCTGTTACAAAATTACCTAGGAAGAGGATATTCAGGTGACTGTGTAAAAGTAAGTTACCGGTTGGTATCCCACTGAACACAGCTAGAAAATCAATGGGCGCACTTTGAGGAGAGGCATTCTGAAGGTGACTGTGGATGCTGCCGGAATGTGCAGGCTGTAACTCCTCAAGTTTGGACTGTCCTGGGTTTGGCCCCGTCTCTTTGTGTGCTGTTGAAGACCTTAGCTGCAGAGGTGCCTCTTTGTAAATTAAACATTTAGAATATGAGCATGGCAGGAACTTGAACCAATTTGTGAGAACCAGGGGGTTGTATGTGTGTAGGGTGGGGGTGGGATCTGTGTGTGTGAGTGCAAGAAAGCACTAGTCGTCATCTAAGTCTACTTAGCAGTAACCCCAATAATATAGAAATACCCGATTTTCAGTCACATTCCACATAGAAATGCTTTCTGCTTTCTGAGCTTTTACCAAAGAGCAGTGGTATGGATCAGGGGCAGTGATCTCAGTGCATGCAGCTGGCATTGATCCAGTGCTTACTCCGTATCATGAGCTCTATATGCAGCACCTCATCTGACCCTTCAGCTGTGAACTAGAGGTGGTATTAGTGGCCTTCATAAATGTGGAAACCAGCAGAGAGGGGACGAGGTCCTATAGCCAGTACATGGCAGAGCCTTTTTAGCAGCCCAGGCTATTTGCTTATACTCCAGGCTCATTTGCTTAAATATCATGCCAATTTGCATCCCGTGGACAGAGCAAGAATCTGCTGACTTGTTTATGGAAATAAGGAAAGATTTGTCTCTCCATTCTCCGCAAGTATGGTGGATTGTTGGGAAGCTAGGGTGTGTGTTTTGGGGTACTCCACAGGTCCCTAGGATGCACAGAGCTTCACCTAGCCCCTTTTTGTGAGTACCTCGTTTTTCTGCTAGACATCTACATGATCAAAGTAGCCCAAAACTGGGATAGTGCTACCTCTTTTGATATCAGGTCTTCATGTGTGGGGAGTCTTAACTTGGGCAGGCAGGGCATTTCTTCTTCGTAGAGCTCTAGAGAATTCCTGCTGTCTTTTCAGGTAGCTAATGTGTATGGTTAGTGTCATGGTTACCAAACCTTCATATTTTAGAAGCTAGCATTCATAATTTGGTTTGTTTTTCAATTTTTTTTTTTAAAGACAGAGTCTCACACTGTCACCTGGGCTGGAGTACAGTGGCACGATCTTGGCTCACTGCAGCCTCCGCCTCTTGGGTTCTTCTGCCTCAGCCTGCTGGCATGCACCACCATGCCTGGTTAATTTTTGTATTTTTAGTAGAGACAGGGTTTCACCATGTTGGCCAAGATGGTCTCGATCTCGTGACCTCGTGATCCGCCTGCTTCAGCCTCCCAAAGTGCTGAGATTACAGGAGTGAGCCACTGTGCCTGGCCAGTTTTTAAAAAAATTTAAAACCATGTTGAAGTTTTATGTTACTATTAATTTAAACAATAAGTGGTTTCCTATTTGAATAAAGTGCTTTTAAATGTTCATTTCCTCTTGTGAGCTGAGTTTGGGTCTCTGACACCAAGTGACTGAGTCTTTACAGTTATGTTTAGATGGGGATGACTTCCCTGAACATTTCACACATTCCAGGAAAATCTTGCTGACAAGTGAAAACTGGGATCATCATTCCACTTTTATGGATGCACAAGGATGATCTAAGTTTTGGGGTCTCTCTTGGGTTCATTTATCTGCCAGTCTTTCCTGAACATCATAGAGCAATCACTTTGGATGTGGGATTTTACTTAATATAACTTTATTTGTTTTTAATAGAGGAAATGCATGCTGAAATCTGTTATGCCGAGTGTCTCCTACAGAAAGCAGCACTCACGTTTGTGCAGGTAATGAATATTTGGCTTGGAATTCATATTGGCTGGGAAGACTGCCAGTGCTGCATAGAAAAATGTGGCGCATTCTGTGTCCAAGCTTCAATTCCTTTGACTTAGCGTTGTAAAGAAAAATATTGTTATTCTGGTAAGCTTTGGCTGAAGAAAGATGCTAGAGAGCTTTGTTCCCCCTCTACTGCACTTAAGAATCTATTTCAAATCACTACACTGGGAATCATTGCCCTTTAAAGACTGTGTCTTTAAAGAAAGTTTAGCCTGAGCGTGGTGGTGGCTCATGCCTTTAATCCCAGCACTTTGGGAGGCTGAGGCAGGAGGATGACCTGAGGTCAGGAGTTTGAGACCAGCCTGGCCAACATAGTGAAACCCCATCTCTACTAAAAATTAAAAAAAATAAGTAAAATTAGCCAGGCATGGTGGTGCATGCCTGTGATCCCAGCTACTCAGGAGGTTGAGGCAGGAAAATCACTTGAACCTGGGAGGCAGAGATTGCAGTGAGCTGAGATTGCACCACTGCCCTCCAGCTTGGGTGACAGAGCAAGACTCCGTCTCAAAAAGAAACTTTAAAGAAATTGCTTTGCCACTGACACATCTAATTTCAAGATGCATCTGTGTGAAAATGGAGAATATTCCCCTTTGCACTTTCTGCTGGGAGAGGCTGCACCTGGGAGTGGCCTGGGCAGAGGAAATGTCCCCTCTTACACCACATGCCTCAGTCAAGTTCAGTTGTGCAGTGCATAGAAAGTTAATGTATGCTTCAAATTTTATTTTTCCCCTTCTTTCTATTTTCATTCTCCTTTCTTTTATTTCTTCCTTTGGAAGAGCAGTTTTAAAAAGTCACTAAACAATTAATCCTTTTCTTATGAGACATTTTAATTGCACCTCTGGGAACTGGTTCAGTCAGTACTATGCCTATTTCTGTATCTTCCAATGGTTCTGTAAAACATACATTTTCACATTATGACCTCATGGGTGATAGTGATGGCTACAGTGAGGGCGAAGTGGGGTAGAGAATGTAAGAAATCAGAAACAAATTCAACTGTAAAATGGAAAATCTTCCTCAATCACAATTGTCTTTTTTTTGAGATGGAACCTCACTCTCTCCCCTAGTCTGGAGTGCAGTGGCGTGATCTTGGCTCACTGCAACATCCGCCTACCAGGTTCAAGCGATTCTCCTGTCTCAGCCTCCCAAGTAGCTGGGATTATAGGCGTGTGCCACCATGCCCGGCTAATTTTTGTATTTTCAGTAGAGACAGGGTTTCACCATATTAGTCAGGCTGTTCTCAAAACTCCTAACCTCAGGTTCCACCAGGCTCAGCTTCCCAAAGTGCTGGGATTATAGGTGTGGGCCACTGCACCCGGCCACAGTTATTTGACAGTTGCTTCTTTCTTTTCCTGGAGGTTTACCTCTTAGGTTGGATTCTGGTTTAGTAGAACTGAATCAGTGTAGCCCATGACCCTGTTTTCTAAAGCCCACACCTTACAAAGGCTGGTTGATAGCAGCAGTCTTACTGCCTCGGTAAGCATCATAATGATAGTCATGGAGGCCCAAGTTTTTTTGTTTTCCAAACCGGGATTTGGCAATCAAATCTGGGATTTGAAGGCTTATTTTATATTTGGGGACTTGAAATTAAAGAGATATCCATGATTGTCCCCTCTTCCTCATGCCTCCCACCCAATCATTTTTATATTCACGCTGCTTTAGCTTTTTAAAGATTGTGCAGCTCCATCTCTTCCTATCATTGTTCTAGTAGAGGTGCTTATCCACTCTTCGCTTGCCTGCCAGCAACCTAGTGAATCTCCCTTTCTAATTTCTTTTGTCTTCAGCTCATTCCCTATTCTGCAGGTGAGGGTTGAGTACCCTCTTAAAAAGGAAACCCTGACCTGGTCACTTCTCTGCTTCAGCATTCAGTAGCTCTGATTGACTATGGCAGTATTCCGTATCAGAATATCACAAATAAGAGAGGTACTTTTTCAAACAAAACTGGTACCTCCTCTCCATATTCCCTACCCCCCTACCTTACAAGTGTCCTTGGATGCCACTGACGGGGTTGCATTCTTGAGTAGCATGGGTGGAGATAGCTGTCTTAACTCCTTGGTGGTTCTCTTTGCAATAGATTCTTCAGCAGTGCGGAATTGCATATGCACACATGGCCAAACCCATCATGATCCTTAATAGCACTCTGTCTTTCCACTTTAGTTTTACTTTGCTTACAAACCTCATGTCTGCTTTGCCTTTCTACACCTGGCCAGTTTCTAATTATTTTTGTGTTTAAAGCACCAATGCTTCCAGGATACATTTCTGGCTCTCTCCATGTCACTACTTTGTGTTCTCATGACGTCCTATGTGTGACCCCACCCCTGTGCATGACCCTGCCCCTGTGCATGACTCAGTCCCTGTGCGTGACCCCGCCCCTGTGCATGACCCCGCCCCTGTGCATGATTCAGTCCCTGTGTGTGACCCCGCCCCTGTGCATGAAGCCCTTCTTTAACATATTGTATTACTTTCATCTGTTTTTGCATTTGGGTGCCTGGTATAAAACAGGCATTAAGTTTACGTTTGATGAATCCTGAAATATGTATTTTTTTTTTGAGGCATATTTTAAGCTAATTTAAGAAATTCTTTTCTGATTGGTATTGGATCTTATGTAATCATAAGATTCTTTAAATTAAGAAGATAAACATTGAATTTTATATCTATTGATTCTTATAATAATTGGAACATTGCATATTTAAGTAATTAATGAAATTAGTAAACTAAATTCAGTTTTTCTTTTGCTACGGAAGGATGCTTAAGTACATGAGAAATACATATCAGAGCATCTTGCTGATCTCAATAGACTAGAAAAACTTTCTCTCTGGAAATGCAAAACATAGGACTGTCTTCACTAGTACCAATTATTAGAGTAACTTCCTTCAAGTGGTTATTTGATGTAATTTATTGAGAAATTGTCTTAGAATCCTAGAATGCTGACCCTGAAAATGCCATTCATCAAGGACAGCTGCCTCGATTTTATGGTCCATGACCATCAGATAAAGAGAGCTGAAGTGGTTTTGTTTCCCTAAAGCAAAATTGCATAGTAGTGACAGCCACTTCAGAAGCCAGACCAGTTATTTTGGGCCTGGAAATGTCTATGAGTAAAATTCACAGCATTAAATAGACTCTGCTAAAGTACTGTGTGAAAGAAGAACCATTGTTCTATTTACTGGGTATGATATACTAGAAGGGTTGGCCTTAGAGCAGATTTTTAAAGTCATCCATTCTGGATTCTATTAAACCCAGAAGAAAATTACTCAGTAGATGTCAATGTTTATTAAAATAATTTGGACCACATATGGCCCCAATTGGTGAGGATTACCTCCTTAGTAATATAAAATAATCAAAGGATTTTATGAATATTTTCTTTTTGTTGTCCTCTAACATGGAAGAAAAATTACCCCAAAACCTTTTAAATGTAAGGCAAGAGTATGTGTTAATTTCAAAATTATGTTATCAAAGTACTTTTTTTCTAGTCACACAAACATGCAACTGTGGGGACAATTTAAAATTTTTTGCTAAATAATCTAATTTTTTAACTGAATTATTTTTAGGATGAAAATATGATCAACTTCATCAAAGGCGGACTCAAAATTAGAACAAGTTACCAAATATATAAGTAAGTCAAAAAGTAAGATGTGGTTTTTAAATAATTTGGTGCTGTATACTCCTTTGTTCTTCACAATTCTCATAAATTAAGTTTGACTAGGATTTTTTATTTGGTGTTGGTAAAAATGAACTTGATTTTTTGCTGAGTGTGTATTCAGTGTTACAGGACAACAGAATTTAAGTTTAAATACAATTGTAAGAGCAAATTAGCTGAAAATAAAGCTACTGACATAATTTCTGATTAAATAATTTTAGTTTCTCTCTCCTTAGTACAATTTATAAATTTAAAATTACAGTAATATCTTTGATTCAGAGTCCAGAACAGCACTACCCAGTAGAATTTTCTGCAGTGGATGGAAATGCTCAACTGATATGGCCACAGTGTTCTTCATATCCTTATTATTATTATTATTATTTTTTTTTTTGAGACGGAGTCTCAGCATTGTTGCCCAGGCTGGAATGCAATGGTGTGATCTCGGCTCACTGCAACCTACGTTTCCTGGGTTTACACGATTCTCCTGCCTCAGCCTCCCGAGTACCTGAGATTACAGGTGCACACTATCACACCTGGCTAATTTTTTGTATTTTTAGTAGAGATGGGGTTTCACTATGTTGGCCAGACTGGTCTTGAACTCCTGACCTCATGATCTGCCTGCCTCAGCTTCCTAAATTGCTGGGATTACAGGTGTGAGTCACCTTGCCCAGTCCCTTATTGATTTTTATCTAGTAGTCTGTTACTTACTCAGAGTGTTCAAGTCTCCAAGTTTGAATCTGGAGTCATGCCTTTCTTCCTTTAGTTCTGTCAGTGTTTGCCTCATATATTTAGGAGCTGTGTTGTTAGGCTCATATCATATATATTTATAATTGTTCTGTCTTCCCAATGAATTAACCTTTTTATCATCTTGAAATGCCTCTGTTTAACTCTGGTAATATTCCTTGTCTTGAAATCTATTTTGTCTGGTATTCATATAAGCCCTCATGCTTTTTATCATCAGTCTTTGCATGATGTGTGTTCTTTTACTTTAAACCTATCTTTGTTTTCATATTTAAATTGTATTTAAATTGTATTTCCTGTAGATGCACATAGTTGGACAATTGATATGTTTGTACTTGTGACTACCATTTTGCTTTTTCTCTTTGCCTTATCTGTTGCCTCCCCCTTTTTTCCTATCTTCTTTTGCTTTCATAACATTTGAAAACTGTTGTTCTCTTAGCTGTACTCTCTAATTTTTTGGGGTTGCTCTAGTGTTTATAATATTCCTTTTAACTTATTACAGTCAACTTAGAGTTAATATTGTAGCACTGGACATAAATTGTAAACACTTTGCAAAAGTATTGTTTCATTTACCACATTTTGTCCTTTATGCTATTTTTATGATGTATAGCACACTTACATATGCTATAAACCCTACAATACAGTGTCAGACTTTTCCTTTAATCAGTTAGATGTTGTCATCTTCTCTCTCTTTATTCACATTCTTACCATTTTTGGTATTCTTATTCAAAATGGTAAATATATTTCCTGTTTACTTTCAGACTGAAGAACTTCCTTCAGCATTTCTTATAGCATGTCAGTTTTCAACACATTCTGTTTCATTTATCTGAAAATATATTTACTTTTTACTTTTTCTTTTCAAGCTGATTTTTGCTAACTGCAGTATTCTGAGTCAATGGGTTTTTTCCTTCTTTCAGCCCTTTAAAACTGCCTTCCTTTTGTATTAAGTCCTCTGTTATTCATGATTAGAAGTCAGTTTTCATTTGTATTATTGTTCTCCTATATATAATGTGTCTTTTCTTCTGGCTTCTTTGAAGACTGACTAGTTTACATCTTTGGGTGTCAGCAGTTTGACTATAATGTGCCTAAGTGTGATTTTGAGAAATTCGTGGTTGTAATTTTTCAAACTTTTTTTCTGCCCCTTTCTTACTTTCTTCTCTCCTGAGACTTTCCCCCTTCATTTATAAACTATGTAAAAATATATTTGAAATGTGTATTTTATATTTTTCCAGAATTTATAACAGTTACTTGTGGGAAAGTTAATCTGACATAAGCGCTACCCTGCTGTTACTGGTAGCAGAACCAAAATTTAGTATTTTAAGAGGTACTTTCACTGAAAATCCTTTCACAAAATTGTGTTTCATTCAAAATCCTGGAAGTGGGTGGTAGATTTGGGGTACCTGACATGCTGTTTACAGATTTCTTTGTGAAATATTTTTGGAAGATATAAACAAATGTAAATTCAATGTTAATTGCTGTTTTAGTCATCAAAACTTAAAAATATTAAAGGAATTAAAACAGGCCTGTAGAGGCAAAGATATACAGGTATACCTCAGAGATAGTGTGGGTTCCAGACCACTAACCACTACAATAAAATGAATATTGCAATAAAGTGAGTCACACAAAGTTTTTGGTTTCCTAGTGCACATAAAAGTTACATTGCTACTGTCTTGTATTCTATTAAGTCTGCCAATACCATTATATATAAAAAATATGCATACCTTAATTGAAAAATACTGTTTTGCTAAAAAAAATACTAACAATTATGTAAGCCTTCAGCAAGTCATAATCTTTTTTTGTTGGTAGAGGTCTTACCTCCTTGTTGATGGCTACTGACATTCAGGGTAGTGGTTGCTGAAGGTTGGGGTGGCTTTGGCAATTTTTTAAAAAAGGACAATGATGAAGTTTGCCATACCTATTGACTCTTCCTTTCATAAAAGATTTTTTTGTAGCATGCAATACTGCTTGATGGCATTTTACCCACAGGAGAATGTCTTTCAAACTTAGAGTCCATGCTCTTAAATCTTGCTGCTGCTTTATCAACTAAGTTTATCTAATATTCCAAATCCTTTGTTGTCATTTCAACAATGTTTATGGCATCTTTACCAGGTGTAGATTTCATCTCAAGAAACTACTTTCTTGCTCATCCATAAGAGGGAATTCCACACCCATGTAAAGTTTTATCATGAGATTATAGCAGTCCATCACATCTTCAGGCTCCACTTCTAATTCTAGTTCTCTTGCTGTTTCTAACACCTCTGAAGTTACTTTCTCCACCAAAGTTGAACCTCTCAAAATGATCCGTGAGGGTTGAAATCAACTTCCAAACTCCAGTTAATGTGGACATTTTGATCTTCTTCCATGAATCACGAATGTTCTCCATGACATCTAGAATGATGAATCCTTTCCAGAAGGTTTTCAATTTCCTTTCCCTGGATCCATCAGAGGAATCACCATGGCAGCAATAGCCTTATAAAATATACTAGTTAAATAAGACGTGGAAGTCAGAGTTACTCCGTGATCCCTGGGCTGCAGAATGGATGTTGTGTTAGCAAGTGTGAAAACAATGTAATCCTCTCATACGTCTCCTTCAGAACCCCTGGGTTACTAGACACATTATTAGTCAGCAATAAGACTTGGAAATCAATCTTTTTTTTCTGAGCAGTGGATTTCAACAGTAGGCTTAAAGTATTCAGTAAACCGTGCTGTAAACTGGTGTGCTATCATCAGGATCTGTTGTTTTAGTTATGGAACACAGGCAGAGTAGATTTAGCACAATTGTTAAGGGACTTAGGATATTTGGAATGATAAATGAACATTGACTTCTATTTAGAGTCACCAGTTCCATTAGCCCCTCATAAGAGTCACCCTGACCTTTGATGTTTTGAAGCCAGGCTTTGACTTCTCCCTAGATATGAAAGTTCTTGATAGCATCTTCTTCTAGTAGAAGGCCATTTTGTCTGCATTGAAAATTTGTTGTTTAGTGCAGCCACCTTCATCAGTGGTCTTAGCTAGACACTCTGCATGACTTGCTGCAACTTCCACATAAGCACTTGCTGCTTCACTTTGCACTTTTTTGTTGTTGTTGTTGCGGGGAGGGAGATTGAGTCTTGCTCTGTCTCCAAGGCTGGAGTGCCATGGCACAATCTCAGCTCACTACAACATCTGCCTCCTGGGTTCAAGCGATTCTCCTGCCTCAGCCTCCGAAGTAGCAGGGACTCCAGGTACGCGCCACTGTGCCCAGCTAATTTTTTTGTATTTTTAGTAGAGACGGGTTTTACCATGCTTGGTCCAAGCTGGTCTCCATCTCCTGACCTTGTGATCTACCTGCCTCAGACTCCCAAAGTGCTAGGATTACAGGCGTGAGCCTCTGTGTAGTTTTATTTTATAGAGATGGTGTCTTTCCTTAAATTCATGAACCAACCTCTATTCGCTGCCAACTTTTTTTTCTTCGGCTTCCTCACCTCTCTCAGCCTTTATAGAGTTGAAGAGTTAGGGCCTTGTTCTGGATTAGGCTTTGGCTTAATGGAGTGTTGTGGGTGGTTTGTTCTAGCCAGACCACTCCAGCTTTCTCCATATCAGCAGTAGGGCTGTTTTGTTTTCTTACCATTTGTGCCTTCACCGAAATAGCACTTTTAATTTTTTTCAAGAACTTTTTTTGCACTTACAAGTTGACTGTTTGAAACAAGAGGCCTAGCTTTCAGCCTCTCTTGGCTTTTGACATGCCTTCCTCACTAAGCTTAATTATTTCTAGTTTTTGATTTCAGGTGAGAGAGGTGCAACTCTTCCTTTCACTTGAACACTTAGAGGCCACAGTAGGGTTACCAGTTGGCCTAATTTCAATATTGTTTTGTCTCAGGAGTTAGGGAGGCCTGCAGAGGAGAGAGATGGGGGAATAGCCGGTCAGTAGAGCCGTCAGAACACACACAACATTTATTCATAACTTTCGCTGTCTTACATGGGTGCGGTTCATGGCACTCTGAAACAATTACAGTAGTAGTAACATTAAAGATCTCCCATCACAGATCACCACTAACAGATACAATAATAATGAAAAATTTGGAAATTTTGTGAGAAATACTAAAATGTGACGTTGAAACACAGAGTGAGCACATATTGTTGGAAAAATGGCATCAATAGACTTGCTCAAACAGGGTTGCCACAAATCTTCAATTTGTAAAAAATGCAGTGCCTGCGACGTGCATTACAGAGAAGGACAATAAAACAAAGTATGCCTTTACATATCAGTGAAGTGGATTTCAGGGTTTTAAAAGAGACGGTATATGTGTGTGTGTGTACGCACATGGGTTTACAAATGTACACGCACACGCACACACACATTTACCTGGGAATTCAAAATATACTAATTCCTTTATATAGATAGGCCCTTCAAAACAGTGAAGAAAGATAGATACTTCAGTAAATGTTTTTGGGAAAATTGTTCATTTTTGGGGAAAAATCATTAAGATGAAAAAATTGCATATAGGTTTAATATTAAAATATTTAAAAAGAATTCTAGCAGGAAACATAAAGTATTTTTATAATTCTTAAATATAAAGGCTTTAATTTTTTTTATTTTTTTCACTTTGAAATAATTTGAAAATTATTACAAAAAATTTCCGTATAGCCTGCACTCAGATTGCCAAACACCAATATTCTGTGGCAGCACAGTAAAATTATTAAAATCAGGATGCTGACATGGACACAGTGTTAACATTTACTCACGGTCATTACTCACATTTCTCTAGTTGTCTCATCAATGCCCTTTTTCTGGCTCAGGATCCGACCCAGGATCCTGGATGTTGTGTTTAGTTGTGTTTCCTTAGTCTCTTTTAATCTGGAATCGTTTCTCAGTTTTTGTCTTTAATGATGTTGACATTTTAAAAGAATAAACTGGCCAGTTATTTAACAGAACATCTATCAATACAGACTTTTCTAGTGTTTCTTCATGATTAAATTCAGAATATGAATCTATGGCAAAAATACCATATAAATGATATCATTAGGTACATGATGTCAGTTTCAAAGGCCTTTTAACCGTGGCATAAAATCAGAAATCAGAAGAAATTGATTGACCTGACCAAATAAACATTCATCATTTTATCTTGGCAAAATACACCATAGTAAAAAGTACAAATGGAAATGGGATCTAAATGACTCAGGGGAAATGACAGCAGGGATGCTCGTAGGCTGGTAGACATCTGAATTGACTCTCTAAACCCTTACTTTTTTTATTTTTTGAGATGGAGTTTGGCTCTTGTTGCCCAGGCTGGAGTGCAATGGTGCGATCTCGGCTCACTGCAACCTCCTCCTCCTGGCTTCAAGTGATTCTCCTGCCTCAGTCTTCCAAGTAGCTGGGATTACAGGCATGCGCCACTACACCCAGCTAATTTTGTATTTTTAGTAGAGATTGGGTTTCTCCATGTTGGTCAGGTTGGTCTTGAACTCCCGATCTCAGGTGATCCACCCGCCTCAGCCTTCCAAAGTGCTGTGATTACAGGCATGAGCCACCATGCCCAACATTAAACCCTTGCATTTTTTTGTAAACTGGAAGTTAGGTTTATGGGCTTGCTAGATTTAGATTAAAAATATTTGGCTAGACTGTATCACAAGTGTAGTTGCACATTTTATAATTGCATCACACCAAGTGATATATTGTTCCTTATTATTAAAAAAATTTGTTAATTTGAAAAGCAATTCCCAGGTATTATCAATTTTCATATTTTTTTCATTGTTCTAATTTGTATTTCTCTGATGAAATATTTGCCTTTCGAAGGTGATGTGAACAGGCAAGAGAGAAATACATAGAAAATAAAGTGAGAAGTTGGACAGATTTGTGTGGATGAGCAGGAAGAAAGCAGAGGACAGGTGGATCCATTGTGATAGTCTTTGCTTTCTTGTTTCAATCTTTCCTGGTCCCAAGCCCTAATTTATTTGGTCTGTTTGAGATGATGGCAGCCATACTGAACTTCAGATCTTCTTGTCAGTAGCATTGCATTTCCTCAGGTTGCTGCGATGTGTGCAGTGGTTGAGGAGCTCTGCCCTCCCTGAGAATTCGCTGTCAGACGCTGCTGGAAGCTGTGGCCCTGCAGCTCCTGGCTGGTGCTTGCTAAGGGATGAGCCCTCTCTTTAAGCACAGAAACACTGGTCCTGCTAGACACTGTAAAAATGAGTGTCTCCTTTCTCCTTGATGATTATTACCTGGTATCCTTAAGAGTAAACTCAGCACAACATCATCCATTTAAAATTTCAATGGTATTTTAATTAATGACATTTATTTTATCGTGTATAACTGTAAAATTTGATTTAATATTTATTTTCAGAATCATGGTCAACTTACTCCATCACTTTTTTTCTTTAATCCAGAGAATGTCTTTCTATCCTGCACGAAATTCAGAAGAACAAACTTCAGCAGGAATTCTTCTATGAGTTTGAAGGGGGTGTCAAGCTTGGCACTGGGGCCTTTAATTTGGTAAGGAAATAACTATATAGAAACCAGAACTTTTGCAGAAGAACCTAAGGTTTTCTGTGCCTTCTCCACTGCATTTGAACCTCAACCTGAACCTCTTCCTGGGTTGGTTGACAAAGTGCTAGAGTGGGATCAGCTTTCCTGCATTGCGACCCACTGTGTTATAAAGTTACGTGCATGCTCAGAGTAGCTTTGGGTTGTGCAGTGTAAGGGAGGCGTGTGGCACTCTGAACGGACTAGTAAGGTTTTTGGTAACAAGGAACAGTGGAATCCATTTCTATTTCCACATCAGAAATGTTGCAGTGGCAATGACGGCTCTGGAATTGAAAATGTGTGAGGGAGCTGTATAACTTGAGGAATGATTTCTGATGATCCCTGAGGAGACGAAGTCTGAGTAGTAATCTGTCGAATTCCAATATGTTATTTAGAGATTTTTAAATTTTATTAATGGTTCAGTGGAATTAGTGAGAAAATAAAGTGGTCGAGAGAATCATTCATATGAGCGTATGTGCCACTGTGGCAACTTTACTCATGAGCGTGTTGGGGGATGACTGGGAAAGAGATTGATTGGTACCCACAGAATGGACTGTCCTATCCAATTGGTTGTTAAAATCCTCTTCTGCTAAGGTCATCCTTTGGTGTGTGTTCACATGGGACACAAATATCTTTACATTTTCTGCCCATTCAAAAAGATCTATCCACGTACTTCTTCCCCAGACCTCCTTGTCACCAATTTTCCAATCATGTTCCTTTCAAGCCACTGTCCATCCAGCCAAACCATTGTCTGCAGCCCCTGAATCGGCGTATAATTGCACATCTGGCCATTTCTCCTTCCAAGCAAAATGCATAACTAGGTGCACTGCTCAAGGTTCTGCCCACTGGAAGAATATTCCCTCCCCCACTGTCCTTCAGGAACATCTCAGAGAAACGGGGTAGTGCTACAGCTGTCCACTTCTGGGTGGTGTCTACACTTTGCACAGAATATGACTGATTTTTGCTTCTGGGAAAGGAAACTAAGAAACCTTGCCTAGACATGGACTCTGAGGGGTTGCCTTCTTGTCACTGCATCACACCACATCAAAGGTCCCAGTATTCTTTAGAGATTCCTAGAAAGACCAGGCTTTAAAAAAACCCTTTTATCATGCCTATAATCCCAGCATTTTGGGAGGCCGAGGTTGGGTGGATCACGAGGTCAAGAGATCGAGACCATCCTGGTCAACATGGTGAAACCCCCATCTCTACTAAAAATACAAAAATTAGCTGGAGTTGGTGATGCATGCCTGTAGTTTCAGCTACTTGGGAGGCTAAGGCAGGAGAATCACTTGAACCCAAGAGGTGGAGGTTGCAGTGAGCCAAGATTGTGCCACTGCACTCCAGCCTGGCAACAGAGTAAGACTCCGTCTCAAAAAAAAAAAAAAAAAAAAAAAAAAACAACAACAACAAAAACTTTTTAAAGGTTCATTGTCTTAGCTAAATGAAATTAATTCATAAATGATTATTATAATATGCAGTCACAGAAATATCTGGTGGTTAAAACTTGTTTCTAGCCGGGTACAGTGGCTCACACCTGTAATACTAGCACTTTGGGAGGCCAAGGCAGGTGAATCACCCAAGCTCAAGAGTTCGAGACCAGCCTACCCAACATGGAGAAACCCCGTTTCTACTAAAAATAGAAATTTAGCTGGGCCTGGTAGTGCATGCCTGTAATCCCAGCTACTTGGGTGGCTGAGGCAGGAGAATTGCTTGAACCTGGAAGGCGGAGGTTGTGGTGAGCTGAGATTGTGCCATTGTACTCCCACCTGGGCAAAAATAGTGAAACTCTATCTCAAAAAAAAACAAAAACTTGTTTCTAATTTATCATGTTACTGAAGCATTAAAACTGTAAATTGTTTGGAGTTTAAATTTGTTTGTAGTTAAAAACACTAACGTGTAAAAACACTGTATATTTCTTCTTACAGATGCTGTCCCTTTTACCAGCAAGGATTATCAGACTACTGGAATTTATTGGATTTTCTGGAAACAGGGTACACATTTAATATTATCTTAATTTTGACAGGGAAGATAAAACATTATTTATTGAATATGAGGGCAGTGCAACATGTCCTCATAACTAGCTTAATAATTATTGGCAATTTGTTTGCAGGACAGAAAATAAGCCTTTGATTCTTGATCATAATTTTCAGGAGTTAGACAGTTTTTCTGTTGAAAGTTAAAAATGTTCACCCTTGTTACCCAAATTCTGGGATAAAAAATTACGTGTTGCTAATATTGTTGCTTGCCAGATCTTAATACTCTCACGTGGCTTCCTATGCCTTCTAATAGTTGAGCAGCCCCAGAGCTGTCCTCCTTGAGACGAAGAAATTAGGCTGGATTTCCCTAATATTTTACGATTTTTCATGGCTCAAACACCATGGACCCAACATAATTTCACTATTTTGGATTTCCATGTGTTTCTACAAGTTTCTTTATAAAACTCAGTGTGGAAATTTGTTTGCCATGAGTTTTATTTATTAAATCTCTGTGTGTTTGTGGTTTTGTAGTGAATATATCACATTTATTAACCATAACACTCAATATGGTATTACAAGAGCTACCTCACCGCAAAAAGCGTTGATTAAAAAAGCAGGTTTTGAGAAACGTATGAGAGCAAGTGTAAACAGCTATCACTTTTTCCTGTTTATTGTACTGTGCGTGTTCTCTGCGAGTTATTGTGTATTTATGGTGCTTCCTTTATGATATTGTCTATTCTGACGCTGTGTTCCAACCCTTCTCCTTAAGCATTCAACTTCTACCTGATTCCTTGAGGGGCTCTAAATTGTTTCTCGAATAAAGTTCAAACTTGTATGGCTTCAAGGACCCCATGGTCTGATTCTAGCCAGCGTTTTCAGCCATACTACCCCTATTCCACACATTCCCAGTACTCTTGTTAAACTGGGCAATTGGTTGTTCCCCAGCAAAGTCTATGCTTTTGTTTCCATGCTTTTGCTTTTCTCTGCTTTGGATATCTTTCCCAACTGACTTCCTCCCTAATAATTGTCTCTCAAGAGCCCCTCCATCCACTAGGGTTGAGATAAATGCCATCTGTCTCGCAAAGCTGTCCTTCATACTCCTTCAGTGAGGCCAAAGCATTCCTGACTTTCAGAATTATCTATTTATCCTTCTTCCATCTCTCACCATATTCTAATAAGGTCATGTGTTCACATACTCTCTTCTCTATTTGATGGAAAGATCTTTGAATACATAGACCATGTTTGTTCACACCCACCATAATGCCTTGCACTTAGATCCTCATACGTTTTAATGAGTATTTCTACAGAGTATCTCCATGAAATGAACACGGCCCTTTTCTCTCTTTAGAATCACATGACATAAAAGGAGTTATGAGAGTATCTTAGGCCAGTTAAATATATAAGGTTCATTTCTAGTTAGGCATTACTACCATTCTAATTTCTTTTTTTTTTTTTTTTTTTTTTTTT